CACGAGCGCCTCGATGACGACGTAGCCCTGGCCCGCGGCCGTGTACGCCGCGCAGACGACGCCGATCGTGTACGCCTCGATGACCGTCCACGCCAGGAGCAGCTGCGCGTTGAGCGGGTGCCGGTCCTTGTACAGCATGAGCGCCACGAGCACGCCGACGCTCGCGAACATGCCCACCCAGAGCAGGGACGGCGTGCCCAGCACGAAGTCGCGCGCGCTGTCGACGAGCGTCAGCGCCGACGCGACCGCCGCGGTGAGCGCGAGCTGCACGGTGAGGATCCCGTAGACCTTCCGGATGAAGCCGAGCCGCAGGGCCTTGTGCACGGCCGCGTCGGCGTTCTCGCCCTCGACGCCCCCGAGCTCCAGGTTCGAGATGGCCTCGTCGTTGTCGTCGCAGCCGCCGACGGGGGCGTAGGCCTGGCGGGACCCGTAGCGGCCCTTGGAGTCGTCGAGGCGCACGGGATTCGCCGTCGACGTCGCCGCCATCGTGAGAGGCGCGGGAATCGAGATGCGCGTCTCGTCGCTTGTCTGGGGGGGGTTGCGCGCGCCGCGGAAGCACGACGAGGCGGCCCAGGCGGCATCATGCACTCCTCTAGATGCTGCCGTGCAACAACGAAAAGATGAACAACGCAGGGCAGCTCATCGTGCCGTTTTTATCAAGGGGTAATAAATAGTATGGGGTGGCAGCTCAACGAGATTATGTTGCGCGAGCTCCTCGTACTGCAACCCATCGTTTTGGGGCAATGTTGACGACTTTTGGCCGGGGACTTTTCGACGCCGCCGTCGTCGACGCGGCCCCAGACGGACCGCAGCGGTATTCGCTCCCCCGCGAAGGCGCCCGCGACAAGACTTACGCGTCCGGGCGGTTCGGGTCCGGTGGAAGGAAACCGAGGCGCGCTGGAGGGCACCGTGTCCGGTTTGGCGCCACGCGAGGAAGGGGGTTTTGGGGCAGCTCTTGGACGTGTTCGCGATGATGATGGTCGTGGACCGTCTGCTGGCGCTGCAGAGCCCTTCGTTGGTACCTATGGATGGGCTCGAGCATCTCAGGACACGAAAAGTTCTCGACCTCGAATGCCCGCACGCTGCCCGAGAAACTGTGTTGCGACACCGTCGGCGCCGGGGCTGCGCAGGCTCTGAGATCGTGGGAAAAGTGTGTCCGAAGGTTTCGAGGGGATCCTCAG